TGATCTGAATCAAAGTGGTTTCTTCTCTGTGCTGAACTTTCTAGATTGGATTGAATCTTAAATGCATCTGTTGCTCACGCTCACTCAGCTGTTGCACCCCACCACCACAAATCTGCAGGGAAATGTAACCATAACCACAGCAGCGCATCTATAGCAACAGGCCTTTATAACACAACTTGCTTACTTTAACATACACACAGAGAGACCCATGAACTTACAAACAAAGACTCATCAGATCTGGAGCTGAAGATAAAGTAGCCATTAGACACAGGCTATAATAAACAGAATATTGAACTGGTCCTCAAAAGAATATTGCAGCAGCTATCATGTGCTAGCAAGAGGAACATGATGGAGCTGTGCTCATCTAATGTCACTTTTTATTTTGCAACACACATACAGACCCCTTTGGTGGAAGGTACTTTCCCTTAAACACACTGGGAAAGACCTGACTCATGGTGTCAGCTTTACAGTCATCACCACAGACTTCAACATGGATGTCAAATCAAACCCGAACAAGACATCAAGCAGAACAAACTATGTTCTCACTCACCACCATTGTAGCAGACACAATAATACACACACGACTGACACAACATTACCCAGCATCCCTTGCAGTACGAACAGTCCCACTGGGATGCTACAATAGGATTAGTTGGAGCTGTTTTATTCAAACCCTTGTAAATATAGGAAATAATGAAGGTTGTTAATAGATTTGCTAACAAAAGATCAAAGGATTGTGAAGATATGGATATGGTGGTAGTAAAGGAAATAATAATTCATGTCATTGAACCATTTACGTATATTTGTAATCTATCATTCTCAAAAGGTATATTCCCAGACAGAATGAAAATAGCTAAAGTAGTTCCTCTTTTTAAAAATGGTGACAAACGTGTATTCTCTAAAATTCTCGAAAAATTGTTTATGACCGGATTAGATAAATTTCTTGAAAAAAACAAACATTTTAAGTAATAGTCAATATGGTTTTAGATCAAATTGTTCAACATCCTTAGCTCTTATGGAGTTGATTGAACAAATTATTACAGCGATTGATAAAAAACAACATTGTATAAGTATATTTGTGGATTTAAAAAAGGCATTTGACACTATTGATCACACCATTCTGCTTGATAAATTAAATCAGTATGGTGTTAGAGGTCTTGTTTTACAGTGGATAAGCAGTTATTTGAGGGATAGAAAGCAGTTTGTTCAGATGGATGATGTAAGATCTAATTTATGCAGAACTTTATGTGGAGTACCACAAGGTTCAGTACTTGGACCTAAATTGTTTATTTTATATGTAAATGATTTAATTGAAGTATCTGACATCCTCAAATGTGTTTTATTTGCTGACGATACAACGTTTTTCTGTTTGGGTAAAGATATGGAACAGAAGTTTGAGTTGATAAACAAAGAGATTGTTAAAATACAAGATTGGTTTAAATTAAATAAGTTATCATTAAATGTTGATAAAACTAATTTTATGATATTTAGTAAAAAAAAGATAACTTTGGATTTTTCTCTCAAAATTGATGGTACTGAGATATGTAGAGTGAATGAAGTAAAGTTTCTGGGTGTAATTATTGATGATAAACTGTCATGGAAACGTCATATAAATTTTGTAAAAATTAAAATATCTAAGTCAAATGCAGTATTATACAGAGTAAGGGACTTATTAAACAATGATGCTTTATATTTGCTATATAATACACTTGTAGTCCCGCATTTAATTTATTGTGTCACTGTTTGGGGTACGGCATGTAAAACCATAACAAAGCCTATTTTTATTCTGCAAAAAAGAGCTGTAAAAATTATAACAAAACAGTGTTATTGTCACCCTTCTAATGTTCTGTTTTGTCAATTGAAAATACTTAAGTTTTATGATTTGGTGGATTATAATATTCTTTTATTTATGTTTAAAGCTCAGAATTGCATGCTACCATCAAACATTCAAACATATTTTGTAAAAAGGAAGAGTTGTTATAATTTGAAGGGCATAGATATTTTTGTTAAACCCAAGTATAGAACCAGTTTAAAGAGTTGGTCTACTACTACACAGGGAATGAGTCTGTGGAATGGTTTGGAAGATGATGCTAAAATGGTGAAGTCAATGTTTATATTTAAGAAAAAGATAAAAACTGTTTTGTTGGAACAATATATATAACTGATTAATATCTATTTTGTTAAGTATGAAATTTTGATGAGTTATGTATTTTGCTGTATTATATATGAATGTTTATGTTTAAATTGATGGTTTGAATTGATTTTGTTTATGAGGGAGCAGATATGATAAGAAATTTTCTTCTTCTGCTTCCTTTCATTTTATATTTGTTTTTTATTTTTTTATTTTTGAAATTGTATTTGTGTTTTTATTGGAAATTAAATGAAATGAATAAAAAAAATATATATATATATAAGTAAGAACACGCTCACATAGTATTGTAAGATTTCATATGATCTGTTAGTGCTCGGAGCATTTGTTGGGAATGACTCTTAGCAACCACCACACTAAATTCCATCTCAATATTTGTAAAACTGACTCTGTTAGAAACATTCTTGTGTTGTTTAAGGCCATTTAGCTGTTGCAGCCATCTTGAATTGGATTAATTTCAAAGATTGTTCAGGTATATCCAACTGCCTTGGCCCCCATAGACGAATCTTTGGCCACCCTAATCGTTTGAGGAAACCACACTTTTAATATAAAAACTGGAAAGCATTATTTCCTCAAATGATAAATGATAGGGGCGGCTGGTTAAGTAACCTTTCTTATGGCTAGATGTTGCCATCCACCAAAACAGAAATTGGTACGTAGCCTTTTTTTTATCTTCCGAATTATCATGCTCACAACAAGGCTGGACATCTATGGAAGCAGCCATCTTGGATTTTGTCGTAGTAACCCAATATTTTATTGTAATCTTTTTAATGCCCAGATGTAGCTACACAACAAATTGGAAGTTGGTACTTCACTTGTTTTTCAAGCTCTCATGCTCACAACGTGCATGACAACAGAGGGTATTTTTTATTCCACCTCTTCTCTCTGAGACCACAACAAAGCAGGCATTATTGTTTGTGCTCATGTCTCTGTGCCCAACCACTTTGCGTACTCTAATGAAGCTCTCAGGAAGTAACCACATGATGCACATTTACGACTAATTTACATTTAGAGTCAGCCCAGTTCAAGATGGCCACCACTGCCAACTGACCTCAGACAACACAATAATGACTATACTCCAGTCAATGTTACAGATATTGATTTAAATGTTTGTGTACTAGCAGATGGAAAGGTTCCCCACCACAAACCAAAATACAACACTGCTCAACATATTTGGCATCAACCGATGAAGTCAAGGTCAAGGAATTATAAGCCATTGATATAATCTAGAAGAACCTCAGATGAATATAATATTTATTTATTAAAGCAGTTTGACTGAATGAAAAAATGCTTCAATTATGTTTAGAAAGAGAAACAATCATTGTAAGGAAACTGACAATAAAAAAAAACAAACAACTGCTTAAGTAAGTTTGGATGTCTGGGTCGAATCCTGATCTTCAGCTCTAACCTCACCTCCACAAGTTAAATTTACCCAGTCTAATCAGAATCAGAATAAGCTTTATTTAAGGTTTATTATCATTGTATTGAGATACATTGAGATTATGTTCATACAGTCATCCGAAAGATGAGCGGAGTGCACGTTGCTGCTGCTACAGGAGCGTGGCCTCTTATTCTTTATCAGAATCCTTTTTTAGATAGAAAAAGATAAAAAGCCATGAGGATGGTGGTATTACAAAAAAGATTTCTACACATCTTGTCCTATCAGGACACTTTTTAAGACATAAAAAAACTCTACCAGCAAGCACATTTATAAACACATTACATATGCATTTGATGTCAAGACAGTACGATGTGTCCATGAAACACTTCCAGAAAGGCCGTAGTCCTGATAAGATGTTGGTCAGCCAATCTAGATTATATAAACACGCACAGTCAGAGATGATGTCTGTCTATGTTGACAATAACTATTTTAGGTATAGTTGTGGAAACAAAGCAGCAAAGTGCTCCACATTTTATTGTTCCTTCACACAATGACACATTCACCTCACTACGATAACGCCGTACCTCCATCAGGACGAGGCTGAACACCGTCTGGAACCACCCACTCAGGTTCCATTTGAACTGTTTCGTACACATGAAGCTGCAAATATTAGCTCAGGGAAACGGGTCTGACCAAGAACCAGTAGGAGAGGAGGTGTTGGCAGTCTGGACCCTGCCAGCTCTAAGCCCTGTTTGTGACCAGGTGAGACATTCTCAGGTGTCTTTTTGACTGCGTGTGGCTCATGGTAGTATTAATGTTAAGATGATCCTGCTGCACAGCATGAGGAAGAAAAAAAACCTGAGCAAGTGCACAAGCCCAAAGTAGGAAAAGCAATGTATCAAGTAATTTAAAAAGAACTATTCAGTCAGACAAATTGAATGGTGTATAATTTTAGTTGCGGCCCTGTTTGGCAGAATGATCTCTGTTCTGTGGTTTGCTGCTGACCTCATGTGACCTTTGTGTTACAGCATCCTCATGTTCCAACAAATACAATCGAAGCGCAGAAGCAGGAGTGGAAAAGCTCCGTCATGTTTCACTCTCGGCTCCTTACTTCGCTCAGTCTCTCTCTCGTTGGCTCTTCAGAAGCATTCAGAGCAAACCTGCGCTCACCCACTCCTCCATACTTTCCTCTCACTCTGGCTCTCTCCTTTCAGTGTGTCATTTCCACCAGCCCAGACACACAATCAAGTGCAGACACACACTCACTCAAAATACACTCCGAGACGAGCTCACTTCAACCAGACGCAAACTTACTGAACCACGAAGAGCCCAACGTACCCCTCTCCTGTCTCTGGGATAACAGACTAGTAAAGTTTTCTGCACAGTCCAGGTTCAACACTGCACTGCAGGCCGTCTGCTCGTCCCTGGCACCATCCCCTCCCCACCCCACACCTGATAAATATCACCCACCCTTCACTCTCCTCCCTCTCTCGCTCCTTCTCCTTGGCTTTGCGAGACTTGTGCAGGAGTCCAATCAGGATCACAGCTGCCCGAATGCCAGCTTTCTTGTTGTGGCACCGTCCCCTGGTCTGAGACATGCCGGACGCCTCTGCTGGTGCCAAGTGGGGCTGGGGTGACAGCTGGTCCAAGGTCAGGCCGGCCCCAGGGTTGCCAAGCTGCAGGACCTGTTTGGCTTTGCGGGACTCCAGTTTGACGGGTGGATCTCGTAGTCTACGTTAGGAGACAGCTGTGAGAGTCCTCGGCCAAAACCTGCCTGAGGTATGTCCTCCTGATGATCTGTCGGTTCTGTGCTGGAGTAAGTGGATTGCCGTCCAAGACCCACCAAAGCTGAAGCTCCTTTTATTTTGGCAGACGGACTGATCAGATCAGAGTTAGTTGTAGTCCTAGAGGTCCGGTGAGACACAGTTTGACTCCAGCTCAAGGTGAAATCCTATCTGCAGTTTCTGCTCCTGTGGTGAATCAGGTCCTCGCTGCTCCACGACACATCGTGGTCCACGGCGAGATGGTGAAGAGGTGCAGCCTCGCAGATCCTCTCTCTGTGGAGCGGCATCTCTGTCTGACAGCCGCTACTTTCCCACCTCTCCCTCCTTCTCCTAACATGCTCTGCTTCTTCTCCCTCTTTGTCCGCTGCCTCCCTCCCTTCCTCCCTGTCATGGAAGCCCCGCCCCTTCTCGCCTCTCATAGGTCCGACTCAGCGAGGTACCTCCTCCTCCTCTAACTCCTCTGATGACTGCCTCCTTCCATCCCTCTGTGTCCTTGTTTCTACTTTGTTAATCATTTCACATCCATCTCTCTGACCTTGTTCTCTCTCTGCTCAATTTGGTGATTTCCTTTCTTGGCAAACGCAGCCACTCTCACACCAGTCCTCCCCCACTACAACCCCCCACCACACAAAAACACGTGCACACTCTCACACACATCGCTCGGTGCAACATTTCAATCTAAACAGGCTTGTCAGCTGCAGGGCCGATGCCAAGGACTTTGGAATTAAAATGTAGATCAACTAATAAAATACAGTAAAAAGAAACATAAATTTTGCTTTTTTTTTTCCAGATATAAGAAATTAAACTTTATTTTTATTGCTCAAAGTTTCTTCTGGTTGACTGTACATTCTGTGAATGTTTTTAAACCATTCTCATTATTCAGATCCTTTTTTCTTCTTTATGTTTTTCAGCAACTCGTCCTCACTTTTTGCTCTATTTTAATAATTCATGAATCAAAACGTTCAGCTCATTCAGCGCATTCCTGCTGCAACTTGTGATTTTTGTGCAATTTTTACTTTTTGAAACACTTAGCCTTTCTGGCCATGTTTTTCTCACTGAAAATGAATGGAGCTCTCTTCACATCCGTAGAACGATTTAGCTGTTTAAAACCTTTTATTACACACTTCGGCTTCCTTCAGCCCCTTTCAGCTCCTTTATGAAACAACAGCTTTTTTCTGCTTTTTCAGTAGATATTTTTCTGCTATTTTTTTTTTTCTAATTTCCACCTTATGTGGTTTCAGAAAAATGATTTTTTTGTTGCTCTTTTTAGCCTTTCTGAAAATTTCAGCTTCATTCATCTCCTTCAGCTTCCTCCTGCTCAATTCAGCCCAGTTTCCCAGCTGTTTTCTGCTAGATTCAGATTTTTATGCTCCATTCAGTGTCTTTCTTCTTGTTTCAGCTTTTTTCTATTGTTTTAAGCTTTTTTTATTTTGGTTAATTTCAGCTTTTTCTTTTTTCAGCTTATTTCTGCTAACTTGGGCTCTTAATGCTCTTTTCACTTTCCTTCTACTAAATTCAGCTTTTTTTTTTGCTTTATTAGCTATGTTTTAGGCATTTGTTAGCTAATTTTAGACTTGTTTATGCTTTTATATTTGCTAATTTCATTTTCTTTCTTTTTTTTAATTTCACATTTCTTTAACGAGACATAAACACCAAGAACAAATTCTTATTTACAGTGCTGGCCTGGCAGCACCAACGGGTACTTGTAGAGTCAGGGGAAGGGAAACAATGCAGTTTGGCAAAAACAATAAAATATAGAAGTCATTAACAAACAAGTATAACAAATTTTAGACTTTTGAGTTTTTTTTATTTAAACTTTTTATGCTGCTTTTAACCTCTTTCTTTATTTTCTGCTCTCCTTTTTAATTTTCAGCTATTTTCATGATACTTTCAGCTTTAAAAAAAAATGTATTCGGCCTCTATCTGGCTATTTCAGCTTGTTCTACACATTTCTGCTGCGTTCTGCTTTTATTTCCCTGCTTTCATTAAATGTCAACTGTTCATTTAACAGTTTAGAGATGAAACCTTTTCAGCTGCTTTCTGCTTCTTCAGCAGCTTTCAGCAAAACTCCTTCAGCAATAAGTATCTGCACTGCATTTTCACAGGAAACTACATTCCTCTAGTTTTAAATTATTCCCCTCATAAACTGCTTGTTTCTTTTCTGTTGTGGAAATGTTGTTCTCCACATCCAGCCAGAGCCAGTTGCCTTTTCGGTTGTTTCTCTTCAGCAAACAGAGCGAGTGCCGTCATCTCCTGCAGAATATATTGATCTTAAGTGTTCTGTCTCCATCCGCGGCCACCTGTTCTTCCTCCTCTCTGAGCAAACGACTGACTGATTGTGGGTGAGCGAGTGAATGGATGGGTAAGAATGTGCACACTCGTATTAGTTTCACACAATATTTTCACCTGTTTCTGCTCTTTTGTTCTTTTTCTTAACGGTGCCAAAACACAAACATTAAGGCGTCCTTACTACGTTGAATTATTTTATCCAGGTTTATATTGCACAGCTTTGAACTAAAACATGCAAACTGAACAACTAAACATGTGGCTCCTTCACAAACATTATGCAGTGACTTTTAGCAAAGATGCGCTGCACCCGTAGACAAAATCTGGAAAAAACGGAGGAAGAAATAATGGAGATCAATGGGATTTTGATGAAACATAAAAAATGCACAAACATGTTACTGTAGAGACGTCATTTCAAGTTTAAACAGAAAGTTGAACTTTACATATCTAACCAGCATTTTGATTTATTTGACTGTTTTTACACAACTGAAGTTCAAGTTTAAAGATTTAGCAGATTTTTCCACAAAATATTCACCTGCCAGTTGATGTTACACACTAACGTCTGAAAGATCTAAAAAAAAAATCAAAACTTTTGAAAACACTTCTTACGTCCTGATGCATGCTCAATAATCCAGGTAGAAAAATCTAAAAAAGTTAAATCTGGTCCTCTGGAAATTCAAAAAAAAAAAAAAAAAAAAAGCAAAACAACAAAAAATGTTTTGTTGTTGTTGTCTATTTAAGAGACTGAGCTGAAAACAGCACCTCAGACTGAAGAAGTCTCTCGGACGAGAGACGAAACGTTTCTACATTTTTTGTTGTTTTGCTTTGTTTTTTGTTTTTTTTGAATGTCCAGAGGACCAGATTTAACTTCTTACGTCCAAAATATTTTTGGTCAATAACCAAATTATACATCAGAATGTGATCATGTTCTTGTCTTCATTCACTCACTGGGTCTCTGACTGCTTTAGGACTTTCTCAAATGTCCCCAGAACGCAGAGAGAACAACACATTCAGACGTTTATGGACTTTCATATTTTCACTCCAAATATTCTGTTAAAAAGTGGAAGTCAAGGACGTTTTTCACTTTAAATATCACCTATGTAAAATGTTGTCGAAACATGAAAAAATATGTGACCGTTAACTCTTCTACCTCTCACGGTTAAAAAATTAGCAAAATAATCCAACATCATTTTCACAAATCATCTGTGATGCATATTTTCAGTCTTGGCAGCCAGGGAGTGACAGAACCATCTGTGTGGTTACCATAGTGACCGTTTAAAGTTTAAAGTGTTCAACGTTCACTTCAGACTTGTACAAAATATACATGTAGATGATTTTTTGGGGGGCTTAAATTATTATTATATATGTTAAAGGTTTGGGCAGTAGCTGCACTGACACCCATGAAAATATCTTCAGAAACTTTTTATTTTTGTTCATTTTTTTTCTTTAGATTAATTTTTAAATGAATATGCAAACACTGTGATAAATGTTTTTAATCCTGTTACATTTCTGTCATATAAAACATAAAGCCACATTACAGGAGATTACCTAAAATGTGAAAACAAGTGTATTGTTTCTCTATTAAATGGAGTTGTCCTGGGACCAAAACAAACATCTCCAAAAGTCGCCTCATAGCCCCCCAGCAGCTTTAAGGCCCTGCATTCTGGGAAGAGTGAAGTAAAGTTTACAACGGTCTTATTGCTCTCTTCCAGGGAGGCTTTTCATCTGGAGAATGCAATTTATTTTATGGAGCAAAGAGAACGCACTCGAAGCTCAGGAAAACATCAGAGGGACGCAATGCCATCACTACACTGTTGCATTGGGAAAAATTATTTTTACATTTAATTATTTATTTTATTATTTGACTGCATTTTAAAATAAAGTCAGAGACTTTTATCTAGCTTTTTGGTTAATTTAACTTTTTATTTAAGTGATTGAACTTGTTCTTCTCCTGCAGGGATATTTGAGGAAAGTAGGGGACAAAAGTAAGAACTTTGAGTAAACTGCTTGTTTTGATATTGCTTAAAAGTATACTTTTCTCAAATGACTGGGGTGGCTGAAGATGAATCTGTAAGGATGGTACTTTTCTGTGGCCCGGTTTGTGTCTGTTTCCCTCGTGCTCCCTCATTAGTTCCATTAGTGCCACCTGTGTCTCGTCCCAGCTGTTTGTTATCTTGTCTCGTTTTCTCCCTGTATTTAAGCCGTCCTATTCTGTCTTGTTCTTCGTCGGGTCGTCTTCGTTGGTTACTCCTCTTTGGGTCTCCTGAGTCTTTCCCTGAGTCTCCCTGGTTCCTCGAGTTCCCTGTGTCTCTCGTGTCTCCTGAGTTCCCCGTGCCTCCTTCCTGTGTTCATGTAAGTTTTTGCTGCCCCGTCAGCTTGTTTATTTTGTACTTTATTTACCATTAAAATCCTATTTTTTGTATTTCTGCCGAGTTGAGTCCCTGTTCTGCACTCTGGGTTCGCTCCTAACCTCAAACCATGACAGAATCTATGAAGGCCAAGGCCTCCATTGCAACCCCCTCTGACTCCACCATTGCACCTGATAA